CCATAACCTATATGCACCTGGTGTGTAAGCTATCATGGTTTAGATCAGCTACAGATACCAATTAAAGGGTGAGTCATGCTGAAAAATTATGTATAGGGATTTATACCTATAGAAGGGCATTCCAAACTATTCTTCCATTCCTAACTTGGTTTAAGTTAGATTTACATGGCAAAATATAGTTTGGTTCAATTGTCTGTTGTCCCTTTAGATCAGGGGTGCCCAACCTTTTTTGAACCAAGAGCTACTTTTGAAGTCGGCAATTTGCCGAGAGCTACTCGTCCAGTCTCATTATCAACAAACATAATTTTTCATCAATCCCTACTCCTCACTTCTTTAAAGTAAATAAAACAGAACGTGATGTGTCCATAGGAGACAACTTTTTATGCAAGCTGTATAAAATAAATGTGTCTCTACCTTAGTGGGACTTCTGACACTGAGAGGAGGAGGCCAGGGTCTCATAAGATGGGCAGTATGAGGTGGTTGCGAGGCGCAGGCAGGTCTCCAGATGATCATCATTCATTGTGGATGTGTTTTTGGACTTGATGATTTTCATGTGTGAAAAAGCAGACTCACACAGGTAGGTAGATCCAAAAAGTGCTGTTAAGTTCAAAGCACATCTTCGGATGTTAGGATACTTTTCTTCTGACAGCAGACTCCAGAACTCTCCATCCACGCCAGGTGATGCTCTGGATTTGATCCCAATGTCCTTTTGCAGACTGAACACCTCATTTTCAACACCAGAGCTGTCCAGCTGAAACACGGACACCAATTTGGACACAATGTCATCCACATCAACATTTCCAAAAGGATAACACATGTAGCTGGTAACAGGCTCGATGGAGGAAAAGTCAGTAAATCGTCTCTCAAATTCTGCTGAGATGCTCTGAACCTGCTTAGAATAGTGTGCACTGTCCAGTTGTGGGACCTCTTTCCCTTGTGCCTCCATGTGTGGGAAGTTTCGCAGGTCCCTGCGTTGCAGCCGACTTGTGAGCAGTTGCAGCCTGCTTTTGAAGGTGCTCACAGAACTGATCATGTGGATTATGTTTTTGTCCTTTCCCTGAAGCTCCAAATTCAGTTCATTGAGCAGGCTGGTGAGATCTGTGAGGAAGGCTAAATCCAAAAGCCACTGGGTGTCCTCTAGTTTTGAATGTTCACCATGATCTGACAGCTTCAGAAAATCCCTGATCTCAGGCAACAGCTCACTGAATCTGTCCAGAAATTTACCTCTGCTTAGCCACCTGACGTCCATGTGCAGCAGCAGGTCTGTGTGGTCTGCTCCTGCCTCCTCCAAGTGAGCCCGGAACAACCTCCTCTGCAGACTCCTGGCCCTTATAGAACACACAGTTTTCATGGCAACATCCATCACTTCCTTTATGTTTAAAATCTTCCCACACAGGGCCTGTTGGTGGATGATGCAGTGATAGTGCAAAATGTCTGGGAAAGCATCATTCTGCTTGCAGAGTCCAACAAATCCACTGGTGTGACCAGTCATTGCTGGAGCGCCATCAGTTGTTATAGAAATTAGTTTAAAGAGGGGCAAGTTGCTTTTATTAACAAACTCCATAAACACATTAAAAATATCTTCTCCTCTTGTGTGTCCCTTCAAAGGCAAGATGGTGAGCAGCTCCTCTTTTGCACTCATGTCTGCAAAGGCCATTCTGATAAAAACACACAGCTGGGCTACATCCACCATGTCTGTCGATTCATCAAACTGAAGAGAGAAACACTCACATTGTTCCACGTCCTTTTTTAGCTGCTCCTCCACATCCACAGCCATTCCCTCACATCGCCGTGTCACTGTTTGTCTGGACAACTGCACGTCTTTAATAGCAGCTACGATCTCACTTTTATTTTTAAAATCATGAAAAAGCGCATCTGCAGCCTCAATAAACGCTTCTTTCATAACTTGTCCATCGCTGAAAGACTTCTTATGTTGAGCCAGGATGCGGCTAACACGGTAGGAAGCTATCGTAGCAGCTTTACCTTTTGTGCTGGGGCGAGTGAAGACTGATTGCTGGGCTGCAAGCTTGTTTTTTAGCTCCCGCACTTTCTGAGTCCGTAAAGAACTTTTAAGAGGGAAATCTGTCTCAAACCGTTTGTGCATCGTCTTGAAATGCCGCTCCAAGTTACACTTTTTGGGTAAGGCAACGCTCGAATTACAGATGAGGCAAATGGACTTCGAATTAGAATAAACAAAAAAATACTCCTCCTCCCACTCTGTGTGAAAATAATAAGTTTTCGTTTGCTTGTTCGCTAGTTTTCCATCCATGTTTTCTGTGCACCGACATTACTCCACTACTGAGCCTAAAGTCTCGTGAGAGCGCTGTGTCACCGCACCCAAAACTCGCGAGACTATGTCTGTGAGAATACAAGTCAAGGCTTCGCCGCCCGCGAGCGACCGGTCGCCCGCGAGCGACTGGTTGGGCACACCAGCTTTAGATGAACGACTTGAGTTTTGGGTTTTTGGTTTCCCCCTAAATGTTTTGGAGTCTATGGCGAGACTCATTTTAAGGATTAGCTTTTTTTGAACAAATGGAGGTCTCTCTATTATTCACTTTAATAGTAGAAGTTTAAATGCAAATATATCCAAAATAACAGATTATTTAAAACAACTAAACAGAACCTTTACAATAACTGCACTGTCAGAGACATGGCTCAACGATGAAAACACAAATAATGTTCACATGGAAGGGTATGAATTATATCATGTGAACAGAAGCAACAAAAGAGGTGGTGGAGTGACTCTTTGTTAAAAATGAAATAAAATGTAAATTAATTAATGAAATGTCAATAATTGTTGATAATATCATGGAAATAATAACAATAGAAATAATAAACAAGAATGATAAAAACATATTGATAAGTTGTGTATATCGATCTCCAGGATCAAATATAGAAATATTCACTGATAAAATGGTACAACTATTGGACAATAGTTTTAATAAAAGCATTTTTTTGTGTGGAGACTTTAATATTGACCTGGGAAATAAAACAGATTCAAATAACATCAGTACATTTACAAATTCATTGTATAGTTTAAATCTTTATCCGTTAATATCAAAACCAACAATAATTACAACTCATAGTGCTACAATAATCGATAATATTTTCACAAATGTAACAAATGGGGATGTGATGGGAGGTATTTTTAATGAGTGATTTGAGTGATCATTTTCCAGTTTTCACGATTTATAAAAATGATCAAAGCATTACAAAAGAAATTACAATTAAGAAAAAAACAATGAACACGTCAAAAAAAGCATTGGACAAATTAAAAGATGATTTACATAAACAAAGCTGGAAAGACGTGTATGTTGATGATGTGAACAGATCATATGATGAGTTTATGAATATTTTGGGAGCTCTTTATGAAAAGAATTGTGTGCAAAATAATTATACAAAGAGAAATGTTGTTGACCAACTATGGATGACGAAAGGGTTGAGAAATGCTTGTAAAAAAAAAAAGAATTATTTGTATACATGTTGCTTGAAATTGAGAACACAAGAGGCCCAAGAGAAATATAAGAAGTATAAAAATAAATTAGTAGCGATTATAAGGAAACACAAGAAGGAATATTATAGTGATTTATTAAATAAAAGTAATGGTGATATGAAAGCTACATGGCGAGTAATAAATAGTGTTCTGAAAAGTCATAAAGCAAAAACAGGTATTTCACAATATTTTTTGAAGGATGACAATGAAATCCATGATGAAAATGAAATTGTAAATGGATTTAATCATCATTTTGTGAACGTTGGATCAAGCCTTGCAGCTAAAATACCAAAAGTAGACAATAATGTGAACCATTCAGTTATAGGTTGTGACAACAGTATTTTTCTTAATGGAACGGACAAAGAAGAAATAATGAATGTGATAAAAAATCTTACAGATAAGAGATCAAAAGACTGGGTGGACATGGATATGATGTTTGTAAAGGACATAATGAGTTATGTTATCGAGCCGTTTACATATATTTGTAATTTATCATTTTCAAAAGGAATATTTCCAGACAATATGAAAGTAGCTAAGGTAGTTCCTCTCTTTAAAAATGGTGATAAATGTGTGTTCAATAATTATAGACCAATATCCTTATTACCACAGTTCTCAAAAATTCTAGAAAAACTATTTGTGACCAGATTAGATAATTTTATTACTAAACAAAACATTCTAAGTAGCAGTCAGTATGGGTTTAGAGCAAAAAACTCTACATCAATGGCTCTCATGGAAATAATAGAACAAATAACTACTGCTGTCGATCAAAAACAGTATTGTGTTAGTATTTTTGTTAATAAAAAAAAAAAGCATTTGATACTATTGACCACACTATTCTCCTTGAAAAATTAAATAAATATGGTGTAAGAGGACCAGCATTACACTGTGTATCTACCTATTTGAAAGATAGGAAACAGTTTGTACAAATAAATGGTGTAAGATCTGACCTGTGCAATATCACTTGTGGAATTCCTCAAGGCTTTGTACTTGGACCAGTTATTTATTTTATATGTGAATGACTTAGTGAATGTATCAGGACTCCTCAAATGTGTCCTTTTTGCAGATGACACCACATTTTTTTGTTTGGGTAAAGATGTAAAACGGATGTTGGAATTGATGAAGACAGAATTTGATAAAATACAAACTTGGTTTAAAATTAATAAATTATCATTAAATTTAGATAAAACTAAATACATGATATTTAGCAACAAAAAGAGAACTGTTGACGATCCATTTAAAATTATAGTAATCTTTGATTATGATGTGGAAAGCACAACAGAGAACGTCAAATGAGGCCAATCAATGTCTTGTTAAGGAACATGTGACTAAGAGAAGATGTTGGGTTTCCGACTTGAGTTATGTAGTTTCTGAAAATGGCTCTTAGTTTGAACCAATTTGTTCATTTTGGCCCCCTTTTGTTAGTGAGTTTGACACCCCTGTTCTAAAGGTTTCACAAACTTTCAAACACCACTGTGTGTGTGTGTATATAAAATTATAATTATGCCTGATGTTCATGTTTTCAGTGTTCCCTGACGATGCTCAGCAGATGGTGCAGATTAAAGAAGAAGCTCCTGGAGTACGGGTACTTGGTTTGGACCAACAGGACCCAGAGACCCTCAACATAAAGGAGGAAGAGGAAGAACTGTGGAGCAGTCAAGAGAGAGATCAGTTTTGTGTGAAAAAGGAGATTGATGACACTGGGTTTGCATTCACAGCTGTTCCTTTGAAGAGTGAGGAAGATGAAGAGAAACCTCTGTTTTTACAGCTTCATCAGTACCAAGTAAAAGAGGAAGATCTTCCAACCAGTGGCTCAGCTGACCAAAAAGCAGCAAGTGATGGAGAGGACAGTGGAGGAGCAGAAACTACCAAGAACCCAGATGATGATGATGGTGATGATGATGTGAATAACTCTGACTCTCAGCTAAAAGACTTATCAGGCTCTAGGTCAGAACCTGAAGATGATGATAAAGACTGGAAGGAAAGCAGAGCTCCTGAGTCAGGCTTACACACTGTCAACAAATCTTGCAACTTCACTGAGCATGGGAAACAATTTCACAAGACAAGTCAGTCAATGATGTCTTCAAGTTATTTCATTATCAAGGAATGTTTTGAAGTGAAGAAAACTGGAGGCTCAATCAAGAAAAAACAATCAAGACAGAAATCATTTAGTTGTGAAGACTGTGGAAAACGATTTAACCAAGAGGGTAACCTAAAGAAACACATGGTAGTTCACACAGGACAGAAACCATGTGCTTGTGATCTTTGTGGACACAGGTTTGGACAAAAGTCAACTTTAAACAGACACATGATAGTCCACACAGGACAGAAAGCATTTGCTTGTGATATTTGTGAACAAAGGTTTGGATATAAGTCAGATTTAAGCAAACACATGATTGTCCACACAGGACAGAAACCATTTGCTTGTGATC